CTCATGTGCCTTCTGATGTCCATTATCATATGACTTTTTATCCCTTGGAAATGCTTCTATTTTCATAAATCAGCTCAAACTACTGATCAAAATAAGAGCTGAAATTCCAAAGGTGAAAAAATGTATTGTAGGTAGTAAAAGTACTAAAAATTTCTATAGGAAAAATAATCTTAAGGATTGTTTTTCTGTTGCCTCTGGGGAGGAAAATATAAAGACATTAACACTGCAAGCAGCAATACTATCAAATAGATACTTTTCATTTTTATTTATTTTTTATTTTATTTTTTAATTTTTTTGTCTTTTTTGTGACCGGTAAGGGGATCGCAACCCTTGGTGTGGTGTCGCCCACATCGTGCTCAGCCAGTGAGCACACCGGCCATTCCTATATAGGATCCAAACCCATGGCAGGAGCGTCGCTGCGCTCCCAGCGCCGCACTCTCCCGAGTGCGCCACAGGCTCAGCCCCAAATAGATACTTTTCAGTGATTAAATTGATCTCAAATTGGGAGTCTGGAGATGCAGCTGGCATCACTTTCAAATGAATATACACTTTTCAGAAAACCATATTATAGGGCCAGCCCGTGGCTCACTCGGGAGAGTGTGGTGCTGATAACACCAAGGCCACGGGTTCGGATCCTATATAGGGATGGCCGGTTGCTCACTGGCTGAGCGTGGTGCTGACAACACCAAGTCAAGGGTTAAGATCCCCTTACCGGTCATCTTTAAAAAAAAAAAAAGAAAACCATATTATATGCTTGGCATGCTTTGTCATATCTTAATGAAATCCAAACACAGAATAAACTAATAAACTAATGGTTTCTGCTTTCATCATAGTTGCTGAGTTATAAAGGTGTGTGTTGGAGGGTGTTAAGGAACAAATTCGGTTTAAGAGAAACTTCTTCTTAATATGACCCCTAAGGAGCAAAGCTTCTAGGTATATTCCTGAAAAAAAATTTCCCCTTCCCCCCAATCCCTGCCCCCTGCCAAAAAACAACCACAGCCATTATAATTGTACTAGGGTTTTGGTGATTTGGGGCAGAACTTAATGTGGAAAGTTAATGGCCTAAATAAAACCATCCCCTGCAATCTAACTTACCTGCTTTATATGAAGAACGCACCAACGGGCCACTTGCGGTATAATGAAATCCAAGTTCATTTCCTACTTTTTCCCAGTATTTGAACTTTTCAGGAGTAATATATTCTTCAACCTAGATTTAAACAATTACTTCTGATCAGATTCTACAATTCCCTTAAATAAAATTTTCTTTTCATCTTTTTTTTTTTGGCACTTGGCTGGTACTGGGCTCTGAACCTGTGACCTTGGGGTTATTAGGCTGCACTCTAACCATCTGAGCTAACCAGTAGCCTTTCCTTTAAATAATTTTGATTCTATAGAAAGTCTATATTCATGTATTCAGAATGGTTTTCACTTCATAATTTATACAGGTCCCTCCCAAGCTTTCCTCCTCACTAACTACATGTTTACTGGTTAATTTGTTGGCCACTCTATCAGAATGTAATTACAGAGAATTAGGGAGGCGGGGAAACATATAAATTTTGTACTGCATTAGCTATTCTGAAGGACAGACAAAAAAGATGCGATTATCTATAGAGATTATTTATCTACATTTTTCTTCATTGATTAACAGGCATAATCAAGAATTAGTCATGCCTATGACATCCTTGAGGACAAGACTGTTTCCCTCATCTTGTATCTTCTGCTTAGCATTGTGACTGGCACATGGTCACTACTCGACTCGAGTTTCCTGATTGAACAGATAAGTTCTATTCTAGAAATAGAAAGACAGGCTTCTCGTTCTTACTTCACCTCTGGCTCTCACATAACTCTAAAACAAGACTGACGATCACCAAGTGTGAACGAGTGCAATTTCTCAACTTTTTAATTCTTTTTTTATGAGTTCACTTGAGAGTTGTACAATTTGGGGAGCAACAAACAAGTGCCAGTGTAGCTGCTTTATGTAGATAATAAAACAAACTGGGACTTATATAAATGGAACATTATACTAAAAAACCATCAGTTTCTTTTTTTTTTTTCTTTTTTTTTAAAAAAGATGACCAGTAAGGGGATCTCAACCCTTGGCTTGGTGTTGTCAGCACCACGCTCAGCCAGTGAGCAAACCGGCCATCCCTATATAGGATCCGAACCCGTGGCCTTGGTGTTATCAGCACCGCACTCTACCGAGTGAGCCACGGGCCGGCCTAGTTTCTTAATTTTACCTGTGGATAACAAAGATTTACTTTAAATTATCAAAAAAGTTTGGCAATTCAAGATATCTGTACCTTAAGGTGGCGCTTTGTTGGCTGCATATATTGTCCTAAAGTCAAACAGTCCACGTCTGCCTCACGAAGTGCTGTAGGAAAAAAGCACAAATTACATTAGGGGATGTTTTCCCAATGTTAAAATTGTAGATCTAAACATTATTTTCCTGGGGAATATTTCAGAACAGTGTGAGCCATATGCCAGTGTATAATCTTCATGTTGAGGAATAAGACTATACTTATTAATTCAAAAGTATTTAGTGGGTGGACTATGGTTAGGGTTGAAAATATAGGAATGATTAAGGTAATCATGTGGGGCTGATAGATATAAAGATAAATACCTCTAATACCACAGAATAAATGCTGAGTGGAGGGTGCTTTAGGGCAGGAGTCTGTTGGGCAGAGAAGGTGAAGGGACCAATATACGCAAAAGCCTGAAAACATCCATATTAGATTATGTATCTTTTTTTTTTTTGTGGCAGCTGGCTGGTATAGGGATCCGAACCTGTGACTTTGGGGTTATAAGGCTGCACTATAACCAACTGAGATAATTGGCCAAGCCTAATCCATATCAGAGACCAGACATGCTGTATTAGGCTTTTATTCAATGTACAAAGTATGCTTTGGGGAATGTGAATTGATTCCTGACATATTAGAATCTTTCTAATAAAAAGCTGTATGCATTGTGGTAAAGAGCAGCTTTTAATTACTATTTGAACTTCTTAGTCCTTAAACCACTAAATAACTGCAAGTAGGCCAAGGGCCCTCAGGTAAAATAAAAACTTTTATATTCAAAGTTTAAAAAGCCCAAGAATCACAAAGCAAATGGGTTCACAGGACTAAGGTTCAGCAAAATCCTAAGCACACCATGTTTTGTGACAATTCTACAAGTAAGCTCTTCCTCGAAGGCCTTATTGGATTGGTCTTATTTGTCTATGAATTGTCAGTGCCTAGTACTTGGCTGACTTTCAAAAACTGTCCAATAACAGGATAAGAAAGATGAACAAAATCATGTTTTTATTGGATGAAAGGCAGGTGAATAAAATGGGATACAAATCTCATATCCTGAGCTTCGTTCATATCATCCCATAAAGTTCTAAGAAAACATACTTTCTTTCCTTTCTATGCTGCTGTTTACCACTACGTACTTTACTTTGTTCTTACTAGCAATTGCACTGAGACTACAGAGGAAGCACAAATTTAACAGGGCCTTAAAAATGGGGTTCCTGGGCCGGCCCGTGGCTCACTCGGGAGAGTGCGGTGCTGATAACACCAAGGCCTCGGGTTCGGATCCCGTATAGGGATGGCCGGTTTGCTCGCTGGCTGAGCGTGGTGCTGACAACACCAAGTCAAGGGTTAAGATCCCCTTACCGGTCATCTTTAAAAAAAAAAAAAAAGGGGGTTCCTGGGCCGGCCCGTGGCTCACTCGGGAGAGTGCGGTGCTGATAACACCAAGGCCTCGGGTTCGGATCCCGTATAGGGATGGCCGGTTTGCTCGCTGGCTGAGCGTGGTGCTGACAACACCAAGTCAAGGGTTAAGATCCCCTTACCGGTCATCTTTAAAAAAAAAAAAAAAGGGGGTTCCTGGGCCGGCCCGTGGCTCACTCGGGAGAGTGCGGTGCTGATAACACCAAGGCCTCGGGTTCGGATCCCGTATAGGGATGGCCGGTTTGCTCGCTGGCTGAGCGTGGTGCTGACAACACCAAGTCAAGGGTTAAGATCCCCTTACCGGTCATCTTTAAAAAAAAAAAAAAAAAAAAAAATGGGGTTCCTGCTATTACTCAAATGAAATAGGAAAGATTTTAAATTTTTCAATCTACCTTTCATTGTTGCATATACTTGTTCATCATTCTCGCCTAAACCCAACATTATAGATGTTTTAGAAATAACATCAGGCTGAACCTCCTTGGCATGTTTCAGTACACGCAGAGACTGGTTGAAATTGGCCCGGGGATCACGAACTTTCCTGAAAAACATCAGGGCTGTTGTCAGCTAGAATAACCATAAGTTCAACTAAATGCATAGTTATGCAAGCAACCTGAAAGACCAGAAAAGTACATTCTGGACATTATATTACATCATATGGTTCAATGGTAGCATTTGCACTCAAATCCCTGTTAATTTAGAAAGGAAAACAAGGCCTTAGTGGGATCCCAAGCACTGTCTACTTTTAAGCCCTCTCAAGCATGGAGCAGAGAAATCTAGAATGGAAGAAATCACTTCGGTTAATGCACTGAGAAACCAGAATTCTGAAGCTAAAAATTAATGATTATAAGGTGTAGTCAAAAGAGAAGGGAAAGAGCAGAATAAGATCATCTTCATACTGAAGAAAGAAAAAGCTATTTAACCTGAACCCACACTTTAGAGGGTTGAAAGTTTTATGTTCATTTATTTCTCAAGACTAAGCTGCCCTCTGTTGGTGAGTATGCAACATTGCCATGTTGTAGGTAAAGAAATACACAATTCTGGAATTTTCACCGGAAAGGATAATGTTTCTCAAGTGAAATCAGGGAAACTGGCACCCACTGGTGGTGGTATCATTACAGGGTTGAAACAGGCTGTGTGCTAGAATTCAGCAATGGCCAGAACACCATGACTTAAATGGTGACAAAGCCAAAAGGCCAGAAAGTTGCTGATGGTAAACCAGCATTCATTTGAATTCTAATGCAGCTTTAAACATGTAATTGATTTGAACACCAAGGTCTAGGGTTTGATCCCTGTACTGACCAGCCACCAAACAAAATAAAACATGGCCCACCACAGCCACCACAATGTCTACGGCTGCTGCAAAAGTGGCTAGATGCGGGCCGGCCCGTGGCTTACTTGGGAGAGTGCGGTGCTGATAACAACAAGGCCCCGGGTTCAGATCCCATATAGGGATGGCCGGTTAGCTCACTGGGTGAGCGTGGTGCCCGTGGCTTACTTGGGAGAGTGCGGTGCTGAGAGTGCGGGTTCAGATCCCATATAGGGATGGCCGGTTAGCTCACTGGGTGAGCGTGGTGCTGACAACACCAAGTCAAGGGTTAAGATCCCCTTACTGGTCATCTTTAAAAAAAAAAAAAAAAAAGTGGCTAGATGCCACAACCACCACGCAGATGGCCTGCCAGACACTCGAGTGCATTGACACAGGAGAGTCATGAGCGGAGACCAGAGAAGAGTATGTCTCTCTCCACAAAGCCCACTCCAGAGTGACAGAGAAGCACCTGCTCTCCAATAATAGTGGGGGACCTGAACAAACCTCTCAGCACTGGACTGATCATCTAGGCAACAAATTAACAGAGTAACTGTTACTCTTTCAGAAGGAGAGAAGAAATCTAGGGTTATCAGAGGTGGGGGGGGATGGGGAGAAATTGGATAAGGGGCATAAAGAATAAGTACGATTTGTAATAATATATATGCTAATAATATTGATTCGATCAACATATGTCAACGTTGAAACCCCCCCCCCAGATATGCATAACTAATTACGGCTCAATAAAAAAATTTTTAAAAAAGAAAGGAAAACCCAAGAAACACCACTCAATATCTATAATACCAACTAGTGATAAACTTAGACCTTGAATTCAAGTCCTAATTCTTCCATTTACTCTTTTTGAACAGGGTCTCATTTTTTTTTTTCAAATATTAAATGGAAACAAAAATACCTAATTTGTAGAGTTATTCTGAAATCAGTGATGTAATGTGAAACATTACCTAACTTAGGAGAACGGCTCAATTTATGGAAGCTGTGTGCTATGGTTTGAATGTGTTTATCCCTTCCAAAATTCACATTGGAACTTAATTCTCAATGCAACAATATTGGGAGGTGTATCCTTTGGGTAGTGATTGAGGCAGTGCTCTCATGAATGGGATTAGGTGCCCTTATAAGAGAGCTTGACAGAGGGAGTTCGCCCCTTTATGCCCCTTCCATCCCTTCCACCTTGTGACAACACTGTTCCTCCCCTCCTAAGGATGTAGCAACAATGTGCCATCTTGGAAGCAGAGAGACCAGGCTTTCACTAGCTGGCACCTTGATCTTGAACTTCCCAGCCTCCAGAATTGTGAGAATTAAGTTGTGCTCCTTAATTTTTATGATTTAGGGGAAGGGCTGGTTATTTAATATAACTTCTTCCAGGTCCTTTGACACAGAACAATGTGTAGAAGCTAATAAAATCATTGCCAAATACTTTACTAAAATTAAAGAAAGTGAAAAATATTAATCTTGCCTGAATTTTAAAATAATTTTCATTTTTCTGAAATTTGAATATTGTCACTGCATGGAATAACAATCCTTAGTAATTTCTAACTACTAAAATTATTAGGAAGAGTAAGGAAGCACAGTCTCTACTTTTTTGTTATTGTTGTTGCTGTCCACTTATTTTTTGGTGGCTGGTCAGTATGGGGACCCAAATCCTTGACCTTGGTGTTATAACACCCAGTCTAACCAACTGAGCTAAGCAGCCAGTCCACTATCTACTTTTTAAGACAGATTTAAGGCACATCGGGATACCAGTTCTTCTTCTGCACTATTTATTGCAATTACTAGTGCCAAATGTATTTTTTAAAGACTTTTCTTTAAAATTACAGCCAATGCAAATTGCTTGTAATTTCTTCCCCTCTGAAAACTGTTCTTTGAAAAAAATCACACTCAATGGCATTTGTGATGTGATACTATTTTAAAAAAAGAGAAAAAAAGATGCTCATTATGTATGTTTTTAATCGAAACTCACATAGTAAATGTTAGTAATATCAGTTACTAATACTTTAGTGTATATATTA